AGATGCTTTGCATTTTTTACTCCAGCGTGTAGGTAAATGTGATGCCAAAGCATATGAGAATATTCATGGGCACATTCTAGATACTGCAAGCCAATGCAAGCTTCCAGGTATGTCACAGGCACTGTCAATTTTAAAAGTTCTGCAATTTACAATGGTGGTTGTTTTTGTTTTTTTTTACTATTGTAAAAAAAGACAAAATAAAAATGCAAGAGATGAAAACAGATAATAACAAGAGAAAGTAATTCTTCTGGGACCAAAAAAGCACTGCCCCTTAATGAAATATTACCACAGATTTTTTTCACTTCCCACAAGTATTTCACATGCAGCTGAAAGTTAAATTTTATCACTTGTATACCACCCTATTTCTATGACATGGAGCTGGTTGCTGAGTCTCATTTGGAGAGCAACAGATAGAAGCTCAAAGAGTATAAATGTCCTACAAAAATTAATTCCTTTTTCACCACAATGACAAGCAAGTTAATATCCCATTGTTTAAATAAGTAACAACTTCTAACTTTCCAAAGAGCCCAAATGTATTCTTTGAAAGGCAAAGGAGCTGAGGACTTTAAGCTTTAGTCCAAAATCGGTAATTCACCTAGTGATACTATCATTATTTATTTCATATTGCTTGGCTATACTTACATTTGATGTGTTAGAGGATGGGTTTTTTTCCCCAATAAATAAATTACTTAGAATTTAGAAGTTCATTACAGTCAAACCCTCAAATCATTTTCTTACTGTTACTTTTTCCTCCAGCCATCTATTTGGACACAGTTTATCACAGCTCCAGAACTTTAGAACAGGGAGTACATTACTCCTCCATGTAATAAGTGCTGCATTCTCACCCATTCAGACTTGGTTTTCTTCAAGAAAAGCTGTTGTTAAGTGTTCAATACAACATTAGGTGCTGATGCATTGCTCCTTTAGATAACCAAGATTGAGTTTTATATGATCAGCACTATCCTAAGATATTTTGGTTTCATTTGATAGACCCAAATACAAAGCGTTCCAGAAGGCAGGAATTTATAACTAACTGTTTATCCCAGTCTTTACCTACATTGAATCTTTTGCTCCTTAGATCTGAAATCTGTTCATTTCTTTCAGTTGAAGAGACGGTAATTCCTGCCATTCGCACTGGTTGTCCAAAGACTATCCCAAAAGACAGTCCAGAACTGAAGGAACTACTGAAGGTTTCTATGGAGAAGTATAACTCGGAGAGCAATGATGATTTCTACTATAAAGCTGGAGAAATACGAGCAGCGACAGTTCAGGTTGGGATAATCCACAGAGATGAGGAACAGACATGGCAGTGTTATCAGTCTGAGCTGAATGTTAATTAAAGCTTGTATTTAGATTTGAAGTAATGTTTTTCTCGTAAGTGTTGATACATGTAACTGAAATATCCACGCTTTTTTTCTTGCAAAATGTTATCCATCTTGGTTTGCATTCAGAAGTGATTTAAAAATCTCCCATGTCTTGATTTTTTTTTATTTTAAAATTATTTTAAAAGTATGGGGGAAACATTGACTTAGAGTATCTGATTTTTGTATATCTACCCCACTTTTTACCAGCCTTTGTAACATACCTTAGATTTTTCAAGTACAAAAGTAGAAACTGCCCACTTGATCCACCACACCAACTCTCTGTATGTTATTTTAAGCACTGTCCACCCTACAGCAGCTGTAAGCTCCAAGAAATTAGGCTTCCCAATTTCCCTTAGAAATCTGTTAATTTATATACTAATTCTGCTGCTAAGAATACAGCAGCTAGATTCACAAGAGAACATCCGTGCATAACTTAAGATATACAGATAAATACAACTGAATAAAGAAGAACAAGGCATCAAGAGAATAATATTGGTCAGCATTTACCTTGTTTACTGTCCCAACATATCAAAACAGAGGTTTAGGACAGAATTGAAAATAAGACTGTGGAGTAGTTCAGAAAATACTTTGTCAACAACTTCCCCTGAGCATGACGGGTACCACTGGGGAAGGCACTAAAAGGACACCAGAGTTTTTCTGAAGAGCTCACATTACCTTACTAAAAAAATCTGTGCTTTTTCTTCTTTAAAACCTTTTTTCTTCTTTCAAACTTTTTTCTTCTTTCTCCCTTTTCATATCATAATTGATATCAGCACACATACATCTTAAAAAGAGACTTAAAACAGATAGAATTTTATGTTTTGCCTGCTGTCTCTGAATCAAGATATATTACCCTGGGCTCTGTAAAAGATACTAAGAGAACTCGTACCAGGCACATTCTTGAACCCATGCAGTTTCTCTCCTTAATGCATTTGGCAAATATGTTCATTTTCAACTGAGCCTGTTCATCACACACTTCATTTTACTCGCATTCCATTTTTCTTACCTCATATTTGGCTCTCTACAGTGGTGTCTCTAATGATTTCATTTGTTATTAATGAAATTACTACAAGAATCCAATAAAACAAAGCCAAAACTGTGGGCCTGATATTATTCTGACCTTTCCGTTTCCTTCAGTTTCAATGCGGAAATTTTTGAGAAAGGGAACTGGAGTAAATGAGTAAGTTGATTAGAAGCAGATAGGTTTGCTGCCAAGTATTTTCATAGTGTTCTTAACATATGTTGTCTCAGTGGTCAGGACTTGTAGCATATAAGTAGTATAAGCTTCTAGAAAAACCATCTTTCCTGTGAATCCTTTTCAATAAAATGCCTTTACCACAGAAAGCTTTTTTGCTAATTTTTCAGGTGGTTGCCGGACAAAACTACCGTGTAAAATTTGCAATCCAGAAGACAAACTGCTCAAAGAAAGAGTTCGAAAAACTTAATGAAGACTGTGAAGCCACATCAGACAGTGTAAGTAATGATGATGATGCCAACTGTAACGTACGTAACAGACACATTCATTTGCACCAGAAATTGTAAATACTTAAGTAAAATCACATTTTGAGTTCTGTTACCTCTTTCAGTAAACTTCTGTTTCATCAAGAAGGACACCTTTCACTGTTTGTAACCCAAGCCGCTGACAACGGCAGTAAAACATAAAACTTAAACTGAGTTACTCCAACTGGAGGATCAGTGCCCACTCCAAAGCAAAAGGAACTTTCTTCTGATAATAATGAAACAAAGAAAGGAGGGGAGGAGGGTGCTGCAAAATGAAATAGCTGCAATACTCCTGACTCTGTGGACTTGCAGCTAAGGAAAATATAAGATTGGAGTGTTATTGGTGTGCAAAGGAAGTGGAGTGCGTGCTGCTGATACAGGGAAAATGTGTTCCAGACACTGGAAAGCAATGCTGATAGGGCCAGAAACCATCAGCAAGGAAGTTGGTTGGGAAAGACAGGCTTTATTTCCCCTCTCTTTTCCCACCACATGAACAGTGCTTACCTGTGAGATTTTAAAATCTGTTAGTGCAGCAGGCACTGACAGGAAAAAAATGCCTTTCTCTCTATCTCAGTTTCCCAGTTTTTAGTAGGAGAAATACCACCAACAAACAATAATTGTTAGGAATATCATGAAGATTAAATAGCTAATACTCAAAAGTGCTAGAGATGAAAAATCCAATTTTTCAAGATTCAATCTCCAATCCAAAGTTGAACTGAAATGTTCATATAGGCATACTATAACTTCAAAAACTGAGCAGTGATACATTCCAATACAGAAGCCTCCACCACTAAGATGGATTTCAGACATATTTGGGTAAAGTTCGACGTATATTTGTATTTATAAATATTATTTCAAAAATCATATTTTTTATCATGCACAACTCCCTTCCTTTGTGTCTGATGTTCTTTTGCCTTAATGTGTTGACTTTCGTTTTATCAACAGGCATCATTGCCATGTGAAGCACAAATTCATGTGATCCCATGGGAGAATAAAATCTTTCCACAAGTTAACTGCTCTAAAGAACGGTCAATGGTATGATTCCTCTTCATTACCCATCATCATAAGTAGAGCATAGCACAAAGGCAGTCATTAAATTCTTTATCCATTCCAAATTATCCCATATTTTCTACCAAAAATGAAGGAACACATAGTTCTTTTAACAAGCTCGGTAATGCCACACTTCTCCCTCTCAACCTCTAACCTCAGCAGCTTGTTACATGGAAGACAGTTTCGCCACAAGGTGAGACAGTGGACAACACAGTGATTACAGAAATACAAAGGCAATGGGACAGAGAGAACATTCTGCCCTGTTGACTACTCCTTTGCATTATCAGTTAAGCTCTGAAGCACCAAGCCACATCAGCTTATTTGAATTACTATTCATACTAAGTTTAATAATTGAAACAAAAACGTATTTAGCAATGCAATAATTATACCCCACAGATTTCAAAAGCATCTGTGAATCTTTTCATATGTAGTAGAATAGTAGATTTTCTGCCATGAGTTGTCAATGTCTGCAGGAAGATCCTTCCGTTTCCTTCCTGCCCAGCTCCACTGTTAACTAGCCCTGAACATGAGTCAGTTTCAAAATTTCAGAATGGAATATAAATCTTTTATATTATCAGGACTTGTTCAGGTCTGACGATTTCAGGGTTTTTAATAAATGCAAGGACTCCCATGCTCCCTGATGAAGAAGAGAAGATACACTGAATACAGTGAGATTGATTAACCTTCATTCATAATCAGTAACTTCACTGTGCCCAGGACCTTCATAACTACCTATTCATACATTGTCTATCAACTAATAAATGTCTTTCCTCTTTGTTTTCACTAAAATATTGCATTCACATCAACTTTCAAATTTAGCTGCATCCCAAACAAATCTGATTTGCAGGGAGATACCGATCAGACACACTTTGGTAGACAGAAATTAAAACTATGTTGGAGAGTGGCTGTACACCACGCATTCAGTCTTTGTCTTCCAGTTGAACAGTGATGGGGAAACAAAGATTACTCAATAACAACTGAATGGTTTATATTATCAGTTTTAACCTGTGTGTGTTATTTTTAAGCAGCCTTATGAAATGCATACATCAAATCTAGAAACAAAAAACTGAGTAGTTACATTTCATATAACAAAACGATGCAGATCTTTTGTATATTCTGGTATTGAGACTATTGAGACCACCCAGAGAAGTGTTAGCCTTTAGCGTAGAGTGGTTTTATACATCAGTGTTATACTCTTAACAAGCATAGGGGCATTTAGTCCTACAAGTCAACTGTATTGTTCATAAATTAAAACCAGTACACGATTTCCTCTCTATAGTATCACTCCTATGTTAAACTGGCAGAATTTCAGTGATATATAAATTGTTCTTTTAACATATAACTGCTAAAACACTCTGGAGTTATTTGGGAGGATGTTTATGTTTCCATGCTTACCACAGATAGAAAAGGTTATTATTTCGTTTACTTTAAAAATCTGATAACATATTTTTGCTAAATGACTCATGCACTGCAATGAGCCAACTTCTGAATTTCCCAAACCTAAAGCTATTTCTCTTGTTCATGTAACAAATACGGCTATTATTGCAATGTTTTTTAGGACGTACTTATAAGAAGACCTCCTGGATTCACACCTTTCCGAAGCGCTGCTAGGCCAGACCAGCCTAATGGAATTTCATGCTCTGATACAAATGAAGAAGAAAGGCAAAGACCTGGCGAAGAAATGAGAAAAGATGGTGGACAGGAACCAGAAGGTGAAGGTGAACCTGAGCACAAACACAGGCATAAACACGGGCATAAACACAGACATGGATACAAAAAGGATCATGAGTATGACAAAAGGCATAGGCATAAAAATGGTTGTGGGCACAGAAATGGCCACGGGTGTGGGCATAAAAAACACAGTAAAAATGGTAAACATAAACTTCCAGACCTCAGATCTTCTGAGGAGTCCAATGAAAGGGGTTTTAATCAAAACAAAACCCTCCCACCATCCAGTGCTGAAACAGCATCAGAGCTAGTTAATCCAGGGGTTGCAAGAAAGGAAACCAGTACATCTGCAGAATCACTAATTACTCCTGATACTTCTTTATTTAATGGGTTGCCAGATCACGCAGGATCTCCTCGCCCCAGATGTCCTGGAAAACCATGGAAACAAATTATGGACCTTCCAGCTTCTTCTAGCTTCCCCAGAGATTTCACAAATGAGGACCTCTTGCCTTCCGCAGTAGAAAACATCAGTCCACCAACAGAAAACTCAACACTTCCCCAAAACAAAGAGAAAGACCTTGATCTCTCAGATGCTTTACCATAATTCAAACATTGTAGGATCTTTTTCAGAAATTATACATAGAAAAATAAAAAAAAAAAAATACTGCCTTTTGAAATTTATAAAATATGAAGAGGCAAAAGCTCCTATTCTGCTAGCTAAGATACTCAAGCAGGTCACCCACACTTCTGCAGACCTAAGACCATATAGCAATACTCCGTATTTGCATAGATGTAAATCAGGCAATGGCACCAGTGATTCAGAACCAGCCTAGTAAAGGGACCAGGCAAGTCAATAGCCTTCTGCTGCAGAAGTTAAAATTGTATCTCATCTGCCTCAAGTTGCTATAAGCACAAAATGAATCACAGCATCAAATCCCACTACACGATGTTTAAAACAATGGCACAAAGAATTTTGCAGATTACACAGAGAATCTCAACCAAATATGGGCAAGAAAAAAGCAAGCCAATATAGAACAAGGATGCCTTTCTTAGATATCTGAAATAATATTTCTCTAATTTACTGGAGTGAATCTTTTAAAGAACAAAATAAAATAAAGGAACCTGTTTTACCTGGCAATTTCTTTAAACAAATTAATATTACTAGCAGGCTGTTCTGTTGAATGAGATAACAGGGACAGCTGACAGAATCCTAAATAACGCAGCTTTATTATTCCCTATGCATATTACCTTAACTACACAGCAGAGGCACTATGATTGACAGATTTTCATGTGGCAGCAGTGCACAAATATTACAGATCAGGTGACAAAATTGCAAACACTTGAGTTATCTAAAATTTGTCTGCCTTCTTCCATGATTAGGTTGTGTGTAATTTAGAGGCTGGACTAAGTTTTCTATTCTGGATACTTACCAAAGGTTGAATTTTCATGGGATACATTAGCTAAAACCCAGCAAATATTTCTGGTAAATTAAAATACGTTTTCCCTCTGTATGAATCAAATAACTCGTTCAGCTGAAAAAACACCCACCAATAATTAAATATATCAACGCCAGATCGGTTCACCAGTTTGAACCACTACTCTGTCCCGTAAAAATTTATTGAAAGGGTAAGGTGCTACAAATGGTAACACTTCACCAATTTTGTTGCAAAAGACCACATTGCTTGAAAACATAGCATAAGTATCCTCCAATACAGCTGCAGAGACAGAAAGGATATTCTCTGAAATTGTTCATCACAGTTGCTGGGATTGCTGTGGCACAAATACTATATACTCAACAGCTGGGAATGTTTCCTCCTTTTGTGTGCTATGCTTCTATTGCCATCACCTCACCGGTGAGGAAGAACTGCTTTGAGATGAAGACTACTTCGAGAATGTGAAACAGGTGGATGAACAGTATCAGGAGGTCTTGGCACAAAAGATCCAGGAGGATCTTGAAAGAGAAGATAGCTACAAGCAAAGGTCAGAAGACACAGAAGTGGAAAGGACAGAGGCAGGGTGGAATGATATGGATGGGGTGAAAAGAACAAAAGAAAACAGCCATTTAGTGGCAAAAATGGAAAGAGAGTGAATGGGATGGAGAAATGACATGGTGGAGGTAGCATGGTCAAGGAGCAAAAAAGGACAGGAACTGGAGAGGGGAGGCAAGAGCAAAAATAAAAAGCAAAAGACCTACCTGTGCAGGAGGGCCTCTCCAATCACGACAGGACAATACCCTACACATCACAGAACTTCCTCAGCTCACATGGTACATGACTGCACTGTCATCAAAAGAACTCAGCCCTGATGATGATCCATGTTGAGGGAGAATCACTATGATTTTACACATGCAATTTCTTTTTCTTCATTTTTTTTTTGGATTGCATTAAAAGCTACATTAAAATGATATTTTAGAAGTCATGAAGTCCAAAATTAGAAAACATCCTTGTGAGTACAAATTCAGCCTGGTTATGTGCACCTAAACATTTATTTTTTTTAGCATAGTGTAATTGGCTGCCATATAGGCATATATTAGATAGATAATCATCTGTCATGACTGGTGATATATAGTCAGAACCACTTGTACTTCCTTTCTTTCTGAAAAGCAATCTTTAAGAAGTCATACAACTTAGCTGGAGCCCAATTTTAAGGAGATACACAAAAATAATAACTCCTGGTTCTATCACTAATCAAATCCTGCATTTTTTTCTTTCATTCCTTTCTTTGCAACATAAAATGCAAAGTCTATTTTTCTTTTCAGTGCATGACAAGCACTAAACTTACAAAGCTAGGCAAAGGAAAGCTTTGAGAGTTATCTTTAGTTGTTTGCTTCTTTTTTCTGAATATTGACTGGTATGATTTTGGCTATATCTGGGAATTATTTGTGTATGTTGTATTATTAAAAGGCGCATAAGCTCAAACCAGTTTTTCATTAAATTACAGTAGCAATTTAAGCAATTAATGCAAAATTACAATAACAGAAATAAAGATGGAAAAATAAGAAAAACAGTTTTCTTCCTATCTCTGATTTCCCTCATCTGAATGAAAAGTCACACCCTTGACATATTCTCCCTACAGAGCATACATACATGACCACAAGTAGTGAGACATAGACTGAATGGTGAGAGCAGGGTAATAAAAGACAAGACTCCTAGATTCTTGACTGCCTGGAATTTACCACGTGTTATAGTGATGATGTGAGGTTTCATTAATGTTTAATATGAAGACAACAGTTTCAACTTCTTGTTTTTACAATGTAAAAAAAAATTACTTTAAAAAAATCATTCTGGAATAAAAAAAAAAAAAATCAAAGTGTTTCTGTCTAAAAATTTTGAAACAGAATGTTCTGATATTTTTAGAACAGAACATTTCAATTTCTCATTGATGTGTTCCCACAGAAAGTTTTAATTATAACAAAACAGCACTTTCTGATGGAAAAATATGCTGTCAGAAAACTACTGACCAGGCGGGTTTCAGATCTGCTGCTGAAGAGCTCTGCAAAATTACCAGTTTCTCCTATTGCTGGAATCATGCTGGCACGCTCTATGCAGTGCACTGCAGTGCTTAACAAGTACTTTTCTCCTTGGCCAGCAGATGGCAGATTTTTTGCCACAGGGTTTTGTTGATCTCCAAATTAGGGGGTTGTGATTGCCAGGAAAGGTTTAGTAGGCCTAACATTCAGCGTTTCTTCTGGGTTAGTAACACTGCAGACAAAACACCACATCTGTGCAATCTGTTTTAAATATTAAGCTCTATCAATAGGGCATAAAAAGTTTGCCAGTTACTTATCATGAGCAAGATAATGCTTTAAGTGTAATTTCATGAACATAAAAAATAATAGCTAGTCCTACACCAGAAAAACTGCATTCTTATTGAATGGGGTATGCAAATATGTCTGAATTAAACCTCTGTTCATGATACTGCTGAGATCCAGAGCCACCTGATGGCCATTCTGCAGCTGCCTGGATTTAATGTGCTCTGTTGTTCTTTCCATCTGTGACAACGAGACAAAAAAAATGTATTTTAACTGACATATGAAAAATTCCTCAGCTTTACTATGGATGGCCTATTGGATTTTTGCTATAATTCAGACATGACCTTTTAATCACATTTGGCAATTCCAATCATCCTCTAATACTATGTTCACATAGTGTAATAGCCATGGGAGGGAGAGACACAGGCACGTGACAACAGGAAATGAGGAGAATTAGAGATGAACACTGGCATTTGGTAAGATGTAAGAACCCATTTCTTTCCTTGTTTTCTCAGGGCTCTCAACCAGCAAGACAATTGCTCCCAATTTAGGAATATCAGATCTGAGGATAAAATGGGTCTAAGCGGCTACAGAATTAGAAATGACAATGCTGCATGGCCATTGTTGTATAGACAAAGCTGTACCAAATCTGGTATACAAATTCCTCAAATGTTCTTAAAAAAACAATGGAGATTGATATTTTCAGTTCTGTGACCAGCTACTCACACACAACTCCTAATTCTTCTGTGTTTACAAGACTACACGAGCATAATTCAGCTTCCACATTTTCAATTAAGCTTTAAGCGAAGTTCATTTGGTAAAATGTTAAAGTTAATAACACGTTTCTACTGCATTCTAAAACAAGAGGAAGGCTGCTTTAAGGAAGAAAGAGTGAAGGTTTTCCTAATTGGGTAAGGCATCTTGCTACCATGAATACTAGTATTACTGCTGTTCCTGAACTGGATTCAATCTGCTGCTCAGTGAGAACACAAACAGAAGCTCTAAAGGAGTTAACACCTATCAGTATGGAGTAACAGGGATTATAAACCTGGTAGTGATTCTTTTCTCTTCTGCCATAAATACTAATTGTGCTGATCTGCGTGTTGAAGATCAGGCATTAACTACTGGTTTCACACAGTAAACTACTTACTTTGCTGTTTCAGTTCAAAGTGAGTCACTGAGAATCAGAATTCCCCACAGAATCCAGTGTCACGCCAAAGAAGTATATTTGTTTTAAAACTGAAGGGCCTGAACCCGAAATATCTTTTATGAGAAGTCACTGGACAAATTCAGGGGATGACTTTCTGTCTTACACTGGATGTACTTATTACAGGAGCTCTAAGAGGCCTCTTCGCTTGAAATGAAAAAAATAATTGTGTGAACAAAAAACAAGGGAGTAAACAAACAAAACTGATTAAGGCAGGGAATGAATGGGGATGCACCTTTTATCCAGGGAGGACATATTTCTAACTGAAACTTGCATTACAATAAAAAACTCAAACAGTTGGGATAGACAAGAATGGAGGATTATTGATTCCAAAGGGAGAACATAATGCTCATCAACAGAAGAGTGGGACCTATATAGCATGTTTAAAGAAAGACGTTGACCTACATGACTAAAACACTATAGTTCAGTACCTTGAAAAATCCACCAGATACATGTAAAGACATTTAAACAATAAAGGAACATTGTTTTATTTCTTATTCTAACCCTTAAACATGTCAGCAGAAGTTACTGAAGTTCTTTATTGGATTGAATTCAATAAGGATTAATGCTATAAAACATCACAGAGAAGTAAACCTGTTATAGCTCTTCGTTCATATGTGCCAGCTGTTCTACTAGCTGTATATCA